TATTGTTGTGTACGATTGAATATGGTTCTTAGTGTCGAAGATTGTGCAAAAGTGTTTGATCTTGTTCAAGATGACCGAAATTGTGAATATTCGCTTGGTCCTTGAAGAAGAATGGGAAGAAATACCACAATATATTTGCAGCTTCATTAACAGGATGAACCGATATCTACATACAGTTATAGCCGGGAGAGGCTCTAAAAGTATTAGAGTATTTTTTACAAGTTTTTATTTGTTTGTACACATTATTGTTACAGTTATTTTTTCTAGTATCCTTAGTTCTGTTAGTGTTACTAGTATTTATTAACACCAAGCCTGTATCGTTACTTTTTAAAGTTTTTTTAAATTTTAATATAGAGTTCTAATCAGTGTCCATATGATATTACGACAAAGGTCACCAAATCCAAATACTAAACTATCTAATATAGTTTTGATTTCAGTCCAGTTCTTGTATTTTTAATAATTTTTTTAAGAAAGGTTGTCAAATATTTTTTTTTTATTTTTACTCTGAAACTATCGAAATATATTTACTCATATCTTAGGATTATGTAAAGTGATCTGAAAGGAAACCAAAAATGCAATAATATACAGGGTGTTCCTTTTAAAAAAAATCATCCGGATTCACTCACACTTTTTTGAGCCGCCCTATAGAAGTTAAAATATTTTCCCGAAATACATCCTAGTACATACTTTAAGTTTGCACTTAACAAAATTCCCAAGTTTTTTATTCTAGGAGCTACAGTACAGATGCCTGACGCACTATTGCCGGACCCTGTATATACAACGTGATTTATATGCATTTTTGCGCGCTAGCTGGTTTTATTTATTCAAAATTATTAACTGATTTTTTTTTAATTTAAATATAAAAGAAGAAATCCTGATTAAGAAAAGAACATGAATTTTGTCCACTCTGTTCAGAACTGTTTTGACCAGGACGGTTAAAACCTGGTTAAAACACTGTTTTAAACCGCTATTCCCAAAACTTGCCAACCCTGGTTGTTTGCAAATACAAATACCACTTGCTATTTCATTGCATAAACTCGAACTGTAACTTTATTTTTAAAAGGAATTTTATCAAACAACGACACCACCAGCATATCAACTAAACTATTTGAATTCGATTATAACAATAATCGGTTAAGAATGAAACGGCGTTGTGTAGGCAGGGCGCAGAGTCCGCGCCGTGTAAGTGGCCTTTTAAATCTGGCATTTTTCATTAAAGAAATGCGATGCAAAAAACCGACAACGCCGATTACTACTACGTTCTATTTTTAGAACCAAACGACCGCCGATCGCAAGTGAATCGCCTACGACGACGCACCGACTTTTTTTTCTCTCTTTCTATCTCGTTTTCTGTTTGTTGCTATTCGACGTTTACGTTTGGCGTAACAAGACAAGGACAGACGTAGCAGCAATAGTAGCGGTATAGTGTAAGGTTACTACTCTTTTCGCGGTGGATACGCGACGCTTCAAATTTGTAGAATTGAAATTTGCAGAGGCCGCGCTGGGGACAGATTCCAACTTATTTCGAATGATCAAATTCATAGGACAGACGTAACACAATCAGGAGATACTGCCTGCTTACCTAGAAGTAGAGATGAGCAAAACTGCGATTCTCCAATTGCAATTGAAACCGCGATTGCGATTTTTAAATCGCAGCGACTGTAACCTGCGATTGCGATTTTAATATTTACCAAACCAAATTATTTGTAAAAAAATGCTTTTTCTAAATATGCCAATGAGCCACCCTCGTTGCATTTGAACAAATTGAGATATGATTAAAAATACGATTTGGACATCTTTTAACTGGCCTGGACAAGACGCGAAAAACAGTAGACGATCAAATCTATTTTGCCAAGGCATCTTGATTAAAATTAATGTTTTTAACACAGCCTATGTGACATTATTATATGACATTCTAGATTAAAATTTAAAATACGATTTTTTTAAGCGAAAATGTCAAAAGTTGACATATGATATGCCATTCTATTCAGAGTGTCATTTTCTATCTAATAAAGTAAAAAAATACCGAGGGAGTTATTTAAAAATTAAAAGTTGTAATGATTTCCGGTGAAACAGGAAGTGACTAAAAACAATTGAATACGTCAATCAGCCCTAATTTATGTCATGTACTAACATACCAAATCTCGTTTTTTTATCAGAAAAAAAAAAGTTATAGGGGTGAACCACTCTTGAGAAACTCCCGGTATATTATGATAGTGGCTCTAGAAAAATAATACTTTCTCTATAAATAAATAATACCAGAGAAAAAAATCATTCACAGTTTACTATAAAATGTGCTTCAATAGACCCCAAAATTACATTCGCAACAATATCGTAGATAAAACTTGCAGATAGAAATCACGGTCCCAGTTTACAGAATCGCAGATCGCAACAAAATCGCAAATCGCCAAATAATCGCAAATCGCCGCAAAATCGCAACTATAGTAATATTGGTTGTCTAAATTGAAATTCAGAAATAGTAGAAATCGCAATCGCAGTTTCCTATGAGAGCCAATCGCACGTTGCGATTGCGATTTTAAAATCCCAGCGATTGAATCGCAGTTTGTTGCTCATCTCTACCTAGGAGATTCTTAAACAGGACAGAGACAGGCGAAAAATTTTATAGTAGAAACATTCGCCAAAATTCACGGGAAACCTGATAAGCAAAGAGAGGAAGACTGTCAAAGCTGAGTATTAACAGAGCATTGTAAGCCTACTTGATGGGATTGACAGATGAAGTAATGCGCAGGTTTTGTGCCAATTTGAAGAAGAAACGACAGAACACAATTTATGTCAGTGAGACACCCTGGCAAATGTCGATTCTTTGTACTAGGCAATGATAGGCCATTGACAAAGAGCTGGAGGAGGGTCTTTTGGTTGGTAGGCAATTTTTTCCGTATTATATCAAACTCGCTGCTAGATACCGGCCAAAGCTTCAGTGGGTCTACTAACAGGGCATTGTAAGCTGAATAGGCATTTAAAGCTAATGGGATTGACAGACGATATGCAGGTTCTGTCAGTCTGCATGGCAAATGTGCGGTTCTCGGTAATAGACAATGATAGAACATTGCCAGAGAACTACCTGGAGGGTTCAGTCTCCAAGTTTTGAAAATGATAGGACTGGAAATGTAACCTAAGGATCAGAAGTGGACCAAAATAGATCTGGACAGGTCGCAGTGGATCAGGCCGATAGCCACCTCGAAAAATCTCATCTAGATACGAGTGTAGTCTTTAAAGATGTTTCCCTTCTCACTCAAGAAAGTTGGATAAGTCCGACTTATTCTGCTGTTGGATTGTAAGTCGCAATAAGTTTGAATAATCTCCCACTAGTAATGGTTGTCTAGGCAGCAGCAGCAGCGGTACGAATTATTCCTTCCTACGTTTATCTAGCGATCATCTGTTGGGTCTGCACCGCAGGGCGAGAGGGGGGAGAGACACAGGAATGCCAGGAATGTCGATTGGTCAGGGATTGACGGAATGCGCGGCGTTTGCGTCGTCGCTTGCCGCAGGAAAGCGGCTGCCCGCGTCCTGCGGATACTGCGAGCGCTACGAGATGACGGTCGTTTAAAAGGCAGATGGCAGATGTTTAGACACCGCAGAATTGTAAAGTCGATAGATCGGCAGTTACGTGCTCGATCTTGATTGGAAGAATTTGTACAATTTATTGTATAAACTGTTTGTTGTTTTGTACCGTGGAGAAAGTTTTACAATAAATTAACAGTATTGTACAGGGTGTCCCATTTTAGTTGAAATTATACAGTATCTCCGTTATTAGTAAAAATAGGAGGAAGCGGTTTGCACAAACCTCTACCACTTTTTTGTCAAACGAAAGATGCTGTAAACAAAATTTTCCTTAGTCTTTTCGAAAATTTTGCCATTTGGGACAGCCCCCGTATCTCCGTTATTGTGGATGATATCAGTAAGGTGAAAACTCATTCTTGTAGAACTTTTTACGTTAAATACAGTGGCGTAGTCTGTTCTTCTACGAAAAGAATATTTTTGAAAATATGAACTAAAGTTATGTTTTTTTCAAATGGAACACCCTATATATTTATAAATCATATGATCCGTCTTGCTATGAGCTTCTCAAAAATATATCACTCTATATTTATTTTCACTATTTACTGCTATACCGGGTGCGTCTTAAAAATGGCTCACCCCCTATAACTTTTTTATTTTTTCAGTAAAAAAACGAGATTTGGTATGTTAGTATATGACATAAATTAGGATGACATAATTTAGGAGACTCATTCATTTTTTTCGGTCACTTCCTGTTTCACCGGAAATTACTACTACTTTTGATTTTTAAATGACACCCTCGGTATTTTTTTACTCTGTTCGATAGAAAATGACATTCTGAATAGAATGACATATCATATGTCAACTTTGATATAAGTATTGCAGTAAATAGTGAAAATAAATATAGAGTGATATGTATTTTTGAGAAGCTTATGGCAAACCAGATCATATAATTTATAAATATACAGGGTGTTCAATTTAAGAAAACATAACTTTAGTTCATATCGTTAAAAATATTCTTTTCGTAGAATAACAGACTACGCCACTGTATTCTACGTAAAAAGTTCTACAATAAACAGTTTTCACCTTCTCGATACCTTTAACGATACCTTAAATTTTCAAAAAGACTCTGTAGCTCAGAAACGAAGAGGGCTATGAAAATTTTGTTTACGACATCTTTCGTTTGACAAAAAAGTGGGACAGGTTTGTGTAAAGCGTACCCTTCTATCTTCAGGAATAACGGAGATACCGTATTATTTCAGCTAAAATGGGACACCCTATACACATAGGAATATAGTCATTACACTGAAAAATTAAATTATTCTATTTAGGTACGTAATTATTTGATGTTTTCAAGTATGTAAATAAATATTGATATTTTTTCATTTTTCTGATGTATTAATTTTGTTTTAGTAACACTTGTGTGGGACAAATAATTATTATAAGTTTTTTTATTGGAATAACAGTTATTTAATTCAAATAAACAATTATTTAGCCTATAAAAGTCTGTATGTAATACCTCACATATCTTCACATGCTTGAAATACACACATATATTTTTATTTTAAATCCAAACATAAAACAAACCAACTTCTATTTTCTATTTCTTTTTATAAAATAACATTTAAATTTAGATAATAATAGATTAATAAACAAAATTCATACTTAACACAATAAGTACTGAATTTGATTCAACATGATTTGAAAGAAACATCACCATTAAAGTTTTATCAGTTAACAAATAAATTAGCAATTTTCTTTTGGGTATCACTATCTTTAATGTATCTGTTCTGTAACGATTCTTGAATTTCGTTTAAATTTGTAACTATTAAATCATCATTATCACTTTGCAGAAAATACTGCCTTAGCTTGTAGAGACTGAGCAAAGCTTCCTGGGTCGTCACCACATTTTTGTTTGTTTCTTCATTATCAGTTTCTATTTCTTCTTCTTTTATAGATTCACTTTCATCATTCTCCTGTCTAGTTACCAAAGCACTGTCAACACTAGCATACTCTTCAAATTGGTTATGTTCCAATGATCCCGTTACATTTAACCACTCGACCAGGAAACTGTTATCGAAGTCCGTGAACATCTGTTCGGTGTCATTTTCGAATAAGCCAGCACTCCAAAATGAATTACTAATAATTTCTGGACAAAACTTCTTCCAAGCTACACTCAGTATATTTATGGCTTCCGGAGGAGTGATGGTTGTACTGATGTTATTCTCTTGATACTCCACGACTTTTAATAGCATGTACTTCCTGTACAGTTGCCTGAAGCTGGAAATGATGCCTTGGTGCAGTGGTTGTAAGGTGGAAATCATACCTGGAGAGAAATAATGAAGTTTTATGTTTCGTAATTTGACTTGTGGGTGGGCTAGGCTGTTCGTAACCAGGAATAATACTTTTTTGTTCTTCTTTATCAGTTCACTGTCCCATTTTTTCAGGTAGTCTTCAAAAATAGTTGGAGTCATCCAAGCTTTTTTATCGTCATAGTAATCGATAGGTAGTCGTTGAATGTGTTTTAAATGGTCTGGATTTACATTCTTTCCTGTAACAAAATTTTTTGATAGTTACATAACAATTTTGTAAAATTACATTATCTTGTGAGACTATGCAAAAATCTTAGATTTTTCAAATTCGCTTATTAAAGATCCATATTATTTTTGTAAATTTACGTTCACATTTTTTCAGTGTAAGTATGACAGTTTTGTTCTAAAACTGAATGATGTCATTCCGTTCAAGTAAAACGTCCGTTTTTCTCTTCTGGACACAATATTTTACTTGAAAGGTTTTCACTGAACAAGTAAAGCTTGATTTTCATGCATCCGTTGTCCGACGATACGATGATACGATGTTAATTTTATTGGCTGAATTTAAAGACTTTGATTGGTTAGAAAATTACGCAGTTTTTAAATTTATTGCATTTTCATGCCTCCGTTCATTAGATATACGATTTGCTTGTGATTGGTGTCATTTTATATTTTCATTTACATAACGATTTCGCTGTTTTACTGGTAGTCTAAGAGATACCAACGTTTTCGGGAGAGAATTTTAAGAAAGCTGGTTCTTTATAATATGTTTTGCTATGCTCTCCTGAATGGAGTGCGGACCGTCTGGCTGCCGGTAGACGTTGCGTTTACTACTGCGCATCACAAATTCGCCCTGTATTTCAGGATCTAAGGAGGCTAGGACAAACATATGTGTAGCATATTTAGTTTCATAAAAAAGTACCAAAGTAATGTGAAAATCGCATCATTGTATCGCTACTCATAAATAACAAATCCCACAAACCATACGAAAATACCCTGTACAGATGTGATGCGCAGTAGTGAACCGCTGTAGCCTACCGACAGCTAGACGGCCCGCACTTTGGTCAGGAGAGCATAGTAAAAGATTTATTAAAGAACCAGCTTTTTTAAAATTCTTGTTTTCTTGATGTTGCTAGCTCTTTGTACTATTATATTTTTATTAAGGTTAGATTAAATTTTTCTACGAAAACGCTATGCCCAATCAGAGCGCCGTCGGACCATCGCACAGTGTTTCCATCACATGGGATAATGGGACAAAAACCATTACGTTCTCGAAATTCGACTGAAATTTGGTATCTGGGGGTTTTCGAGGTCGGGGATCACGAATTTGAGGTCAAAATTGAGTTCTTGAATTTCTGGATAGAGTATTTTCCAGATTTTTTAGAAAAATATTGAAATAAAGCAGGGGGAATTTGTTTTTTGTCAAGATTTAATTTGATAGGGATCGATTTTACCCCTTCAATAAACTTCTGGATACTTAGGAAAATCTGGATACTTTTAGTTTTCCAGAAATTAAAAAAAAGATACTTTTAAAATCCAGTTAAAATTTTTCATGAGTGTTACTTTACTTGGATGTAAAAGTTAATTTCATCTATGACATTTTTAAAAACTCTGGAAAAGTTGAGTAACAATAATTTATAGTTGTTGACCTGGAATGGTTTTAAGTTTTTAATGTCTTCCTCTAGATTTAAAAATGTTTTTATTTTCAAAATAATCATGTGTTCTTTGTCCTTTGAACTACTTAATAGCCACTCTTCAAGTAATATATTTTTGGGTATCTCATAGAAGACATCTAAAAAATTTAATAACTAACAAGGGGGCAGATTGGGGCAAAACCAAAAAGTTGCATAACAAAGAACACTCGTGGAGGTAGTATATTACGAAAATTCATGGAGGACATACGAGGACATTAAATAAAAAACAGAAATTAAGAATATGCAAATAAAAATTTTTAAAATTTTGTTACCAGCAATTACGTAAAACCGGCGGAATAAAATACATACCTGTATAACTACAATCCATAGTTAGGCACTGTAACTAAATATTTAATAAATGCAGAAAAAATAAAGTTGATCTGCTGTATTCACAAATCTTAATGTACTGACCAAAACCAAATTATTTTTCTTATCAGTTCTAAGCAATGATTCCTTATTATTAGCATTGGAATTTGAAATATTCGGCTTATTTTTAATAACTTCGACTATCTTCGATAAAATTTAATGGATGTTGTTTATTAAAACCAAAGTTTTTATTTTACATTTTGTCCACTGGGCGCAACACTGTAGCATCGTATCAACGAATAACGGACGCATGACGTAAGTTTAAGACGTAAGGTAAAAGGTTATGCGTAGACCAGTATATACATTAATTTAGATTCACTTTTATGCCAGCACCTTACATTTTCAGCTAAAATGCAATGCGACTGAAATATCTACTTCAGGTTGCATTAGAAATTGCAGCCTTCGCTTCAACAGATTAGTGCATTTGCAAATGCAGCGCCAGCATATCTACGAATTTTCTAATTTTCAAAGCAATAATTTTAAACGGCTTATGGAGTAGGCAGCGAATTCAAGGAAGCATAAATTAGTATTTGAAATGCATTCGAGAACTGGGAAGAGAGTTTTTGATATTGGATTTGTGGGATTTACATACAACTGTATCGAGAGTCTTTGGAATATTTCATAATTTTTATTAGTTAATTATTTATTGATATATAAGCGATACCAAATAAATTTTTAGTTACGTCATCGAGGGCGTGATTATTAAATTCATTGTTGCCAACCATGGAAATATTCGGCACCGGCCTGACTAACTGGAATTTAAATTTCCCGTTGACGATTCAAGTGGTAGCTCTGCTGTAAAAAATGTCAAGTTGTCACATTTATTTATTTCCTGACATTTTGATTCGTTTTGACACTTTAGTTTTATATTTACGTGAGTTTTTGGTTTCAGTGAACGGTGCTGTGATACTTTAAAATTGTTAAAAGTTTAAAATTGTTTACTTAAAACTTAAGTTTAAAATTGTTTACTAGCAGACCTTTCAGCTGAACATATCCTATAGTGATATTTGATTTCTTAATAGTTAAGGCAAATTTTCATCTTTAGTGACTTATCAGTCACTGATATATGATATTTTCGTCGTTTTTGGTAACTGGATGAAATTTTGTAGACATTGTATGTTTACGAGATCAACGTAAGATGTCAAGAATGTATTCAACTAGCAAAATGAACCGTGTGAATAGAAGCGCCATTTTCCGTCTTTCAGTAAGACTGAATTAGGTTGCTTCAGTGAGTCCCACAGATGAGAACCCGCCTTAACGCTAAGGTAGGTTAGGAGAGCTGCCCGGATTAGGTGTTAAAATAAAATCAACTTTACTTACCTATAACTAATAACCTTCTTTTCTCATTCCCTGCAGCATTAACGCATAGCAGAACTGTAAGACGGTCTTCAGCAAGTTCACCAGCAGCACAAGTTTGGTTTCTGTATTCCTCAGCATTCTCTGGCATGACTTTATAAAACAAGCCCATTTCTTCTGCACTGAATATGTTATCTTTAGTGTAATTCCCACTAATATTCGGCCATACATCCGTAAGCCAATCGTCACTGGTTGATTGATCATTACTTTCATTTTCTTCCTCTTTTTTCTCATTTTCATCTTCTGTTTTTTTACACATCCCGTGTCGTTTCTTGAATCGGTCCAGCCATCCGTTACTGCAGTTGAATTCGTCACCGATCATCCTGCCAAATTCTTCGGCTTTGCTTTGTAACATGGGCCCGTTGACGGCTAACCCATCTGCTGTTTGCTGCAGGTACCACTTGTACAGTAGTTCGTCGACTTGCGGGTGCTTCGACGTTCTCATTTTTTTCTGGTGGCCGCTCACGAAGCTGTCGTTTCTGATCTTGTGCCTGCTCTGCCAGATGCAGCTCACGGTCGAACTGTTGAGGTTGAGGCTGCGGCAGACGGATCTTTGGGAACGGCCGTTCTCTATGTCCTCGATGATGGCCAGTTTTTCGGCAATGGTAAAGGAGCGTTTTTTCGTTTTCACCATGATGCCAAATCTAGAATAAGGTATTTTCTAATTATTCTCTGTCTCTAACAAATATCGTTTCTTTATTTATGAACAAAAAATGAATGAATTCATTTTTATGAACAAAAAAGAATGAAACAGCAAACGTTCTAGCTAGAAAAGGAGCGAACACTCCACTAACTGGAGCAGAACCGTTCTGCTTCCCATGTGGAAACCAACTTAAAGCGGAATTCAAGAACCTTGAAGACTCCATTTGGAACCTGGAATGAAAATCCTCCCATGGTCTAAGACTAAGACACTCGAAGGAATTTCTCGGAATTTACGACCGAGAAAATCAAAGATTTTCCTTGTTTTAAATAACAGCAATCTTCGGATTGTCACGGGGTTTTTAAAAGACTCTGTCGCATCAACGAACACCTCAGTAGATTGAAGCTAAGAAACAACGGCGAATTCAGACAGATTCTGTAAGGAAAATGGAGAAACACTAGAACTCCTTATCAATGAGTGCGCCAAGACGACAACCATTCGTATCATAAACTTTGGTACGACTGATATCGAGTTGGAGAACTAGCCTCTGTGAAGCCGTCTCAAATACTGGCTTTTGTCAAAGCCTTGAGACTGTATGATGAGTTATAACTCAAGAAAGGGGGACACACAATAAATCTGTAAGGTCGCGGCGATTAACTCCCCTCCCACACATTCTACATCTCACTATTAGTGTAATTCCTATTTTTTTAACAATCTTTCTGTTTTTATTAGAATCCTAAAACTGCACATTGACGTTGTCAAATCTTGAAAATCAAATTACAAATTAAAAATAAACGTTTTTTTGCACTCTGCATCTACTTGTTGGGTCAAAACCTTACAACGCCTACATTTAAAATGTTTATTACCTCCGGTAGGTAAGCTTGCAGGTATCGCAATAAAAGTCCCTTAAACCCCAGTATTTATGTAAACAGACGAATTTGGTATTTTGGTATTAGCGATATTCAGAAGATGAAACTACAAGAAGTTGTTAAAGACATTATTTATAGCCAATTATTAACGAATTAAAAATTTAAAATAACGAATAAATACCTTACATACCAAATAATTCAAGAATATGTACCGAAATATGCCTAAAAAAATAACGTGTTTGATGGTAACTTACCCAACGTTAAAACTTTAAACGATGTGAAAACTTTATGATATAAACGAGGACTACCAACTATCAATTGGCGGCGATATTTTTACAGTTACAATCCGGTTATAACGAGCGAGCGAAACGAGACGCCAGGTGACTATTCAGAATTCGTTATAAGCGAGAGTTGGTGCTTGTGGATTTATCGACCGCGTGCGTTGTTGCCAGCGCGCGTATTTTTCCGGTTTTTATCGTTGTAAAAGTCAGTGATACATCGAAAAATGGTACCTAATGCAAGGTGACGTAAGGCTTTACATAGCGGGTGATTTTTAGAAGTGGTTCGCTCCTGTAACGTTTTCATTTTTTTAGATAAATCAACGAGATTTGGTATATTAATATACAGGGTGGTCCGAATTGTATTCCGAAAACTTCGGCAACATATTCTGCAAATAAAAAAAAAGTAAAAAAGTGCGTATAAATGTATGTCTTAAAATGCTTTAGTTTCGGAGATACAGGGTGTAGAAGTTTCATTTTTATTTCGATTTTTTCCAAATAATTTCTGAAGTAACGTCAATATTTGGATGAAAATTGGTGTCTGGGGTTTTTTGGACATGAGAAATTTGATTTTGATGTCAATATGATTCCTATTTGTAGGAGGCGTCACCTACATGTGTTTTAACTGTTTTGAAGAGTAATAACTTTTCGTCCGTACCTGTAAAACTACTGTTACTACTACTCTTGGTAAAAAACGCATATCTCATTTTTTTTTCAAATGGAACAAGGGTGGCTTATTAGCATATTTGGAAAAATCATTTTTTTACTAATAACTTGTTACCACACACTTGATATTTCGAGTCAAATTTTTACATTTATTGTCGTTGCATTGTAATAAACGTGTAATATTAACACTATTCTTTTGTTTCAGGCTGCCATTCTCCAACAGACAGCGGAATACATTTACTCTTTGGAGCAGGAAAAAACAAGACTTTTATCGCAAAACTGCCAGCTGAAGCGTCTGGTTGGCCAGCACGAAGGTGGCGAACTACCTCCAAAGAAGCGCATGAAGACGGAATTGATTATTCCTACGATTTCAGCGGAATCAGCCGATGAAGGTACGGGTAAGAAACAGCATTCTTATTATATTGTTATTTTGAATATAATTTGTAATCTTTTTATTTATAAATATTTTAAAAACCTCTATACAGGGTGGTCCGAACTGTATGTCCTAAAATGCTTAGTTTCGGAGATACAGGTTGTAGAAGTTTCATTTTTATTTCGATTTTTTCCAAATAATTTCTGAAGTAACGTCAATATTTGGAGAAAATTGGTGTCTAGAAGTTTTTTGACATTAGAAATTTGATTTTGATGTCAATATGACTCCTATTTGTAGGGGGCGCCACCTACATGTGCTTTAACTGTTTTGAAGAGTAATAACTTTTTTCCGTACCTGTATAAAACTACTGAGTGAAAAAATATACATTTCTGTATTTTTTTACGTAAAAAATGTCTCTTGGTAAAAATCGCTAGGAGCAACCGTTCTTAAGATATTTAGAAAGGAAGTAGTCAATACATGTGATTATTGGCAAAAAATAAACTGTAAATAAATGTTGAGTAGTGAGTTATTCAACTGAAATGATAAATTTGGTAACTTTTTATTTTTTTAAATTAATCATAAATTTTTCTTCGCAAAAAATGATAATAAAGCAGTTTCTGTTAAACTTTCGACACAAAATCATGTCAAATTTATCAGTCTAATAACTATAATTTAGTCAACATGTTTAATACATGTCAGTGATGAGAGGTATTGATAATTTCGATTCCAAATATGTCGAGAACCATTACTCGTAGCTATTTTAACCAAGAGACCTTTTTTACGTAAAAAAACGTCGCAAATGTATATTTTTTTACTCAGTAGTTTTATACAGGTACGGACAAAAAGTTATTAATCTTCAAACCAGTTAAAAATATGTAGGGGGCGCCCTCTACCAGTAGGAGTCATATTGACATCAAAATCGAATTTCTCATGCCAAAAAACCCCCAGACACCAATTTTCATCCAAATATTGACATTAACTCAGAAATTATTTGGAAAAAATCGAAATAAAAATGAAACTTCTACACTCTGTATCTCCGAAACTAAGCATTTTAGGACATACATTTATACGAACTGCCGAAGTTTCCGGAATACAATTCGGATCACCCTGTATATTAAATTGAAGGTTACAATATTTTACATTACAACAAAGCAAAACAATAGCCATGTCATAAAAATTTACAAATGCATCTCCATCGAAATCAGCTTAATAAGTAGTCAAGTCAAGTTAACTTGCTTTGTTTACATGTGTTTGCCCTACAACCTTGTTGATAGCAAAATGCTTATAAATGTTTGCAAATGTTTATAAACATTTCGCGTGATTGGTGTGTACTCGCCTTAATTTTAACGTCTACGTTACAATACAGAATGTTTTAGTTTTTTTAACACAGACACAATTTAGTTTCATAGTAAATCCACCGTCTAAAGATATTCTAATTAACAATAAGAATTAAAATTAGAATATCTTTAAACTGTTGTAAAACTATATACAGGTACAATGTATAATTTAACGCGGTATTTCTTTAGGTTTGGGATCGATGTCTCCAGAACCAGTGAAGCTTATCACACTTACAGTAAACTCCAATAAAGCAGAATCTCCGAGCGAATTGAAGTTGGCGTTGGAAAGGGAGCGCAACATGAGGGTGCTTCTCGAGGACCAGATCAGGCAGCTCGAGCAACAACTGTTTCAGCACCAACATCAGGTAAGTTGTCATTTTATGACATCCATTGCTACCATACCGGCAGGGTGCAAAAAAATCTATTTTTTTTTATTTTAATCAGATTTTTTTTTATTCTAATCGGATTTTCTTTTATTTTAATCAATTTTCTATTTAAAGTCCTATTCTAAATGGCTAAATCTTTGTAACTCTGCCCGATATTGACAATATCAACATTTCTACGGTGCGTGTCATTTTTCCACATTGGTCACCGATATATTTTATTCTGTAAACTTTGCCGATGCCTGTATTTCCGCAAAACAAATCGGCCGCTTATATCAAAGAGATTTTTTTTGGAAATAGTCATGACTGTCTTAAATCGAGAATAAAATTGGTACCATCTAATTTTCAAAGTGCAAAGTACTTATTGCAGAACAAAATGTCGGTAGAAATTTGGAATGAACTATATAGAAGATAAATTAGGAAAGGCGGAAGTTAGCTTGATCAACATTCAGCTGTTTCGAAAAAGATATCAAACAGTCTTGACTCTAGTTTATCTTTTGACATTGATTAGTCATCGGGAATATAAATATAACCTGATATCAGAAGAAACTAGTTCTGCACTAGAGTTTTGCGATTGAAATGTATTCAAATACCGGATTTCTGGCACTTCACAATTTCAAAATAAATCTCTGTCATTTAGAAGTGTAATGGATTCACACAAAATAACTTCAAAAATCGGTCCAACATTTTAATAGATGAATAGATATTAGGGATATGTGATATATATTATATCTTTTACAATTATTTTTTGATCTGTTAAAGTATTTTTAAACGTTACAACAGCAAGTGTAACTTTGTACTTATTTGATGAATATATATAGGGTATATTTAATATTAGGAATACTTTTTTATAGCTTTATAGGAAAAGTTTTATACTTTGTACAGTTATGTTTCGATTTATCATTAAGTTTTTTTAAATAAGTTGATTATTTTGATTTAAATCCATGATTAAAATAAAAAAATCCGTTAATTTAAATCATTGCGCTCTGCATAGCGGGTAGTGAGTGCATCATCGTTGGAAAAATAGAAATCCATGACATTTGCCTGGTTTTGAATTCTTACTGAACAGTTTTAATTTAAAAATAGATGCAACTTTCCTTAATTTATCTTAAAATCGACTTATCTAAAATTGTTACAAATTTGTCATGCGTATTCAGCATAGATAGACCTTTAAAAACCTTTACGACTTAACTGTAAAATTAACAAAAGAGCCAATATTTGTAGAGTTCAAAAGCTGCATGGGATTTCCTCTGTTTTCATCAACGATGCACCACTCGGTATAATCGCCACAAATAAAGTTCCCAACTTTTTAAAAAAAAATTATAATTTTTATTATGGTGCCTGTTTTGGTACGAGGGAGATTGGTAGACGAGGCACAGCTCTCGTCTACCAATCTCAGGTTGTGGTTCGAATCCTACAGCCGCCATTTCATCAGCCAACTATTTTTATTACAATAGAAATAGTTTGGGTACCTAGGTCGACTCAGCCTTAAACGAGTACTTGGTATTCGCAATCCTGAGATAATAATAGTCAGTTGAAGCGTAGTGCTAGCCACATTACCTTCCTTGTATACCGAACGGCTCTAGCATGACAAGCTATACCTTGCTACTCCCAAGTTAAACGCTATATACGGGAGCTATTATTATTATTATATTTTTATTAATAATTTTATTGGTATTTTAGGCCGCACAAACCCAAATCCAGTTCCTCGCCACGGAAGAAACCGAAGAGATCGGTGGCCTCCAACTAGTGGCCGCCGACACCCTTCCGCCCGTCGGCCACACGCAGACGGTGGTTTGTTCGCCGCCAACGTCCAGGTGTTCCAGCCCCGAGCCCACGGCACTGGTCACGGTAGAGAGGCTACCCAGCGTCCTCGAAGCTGCCATCAAAGCCGAACCTAAGGTAAATTTTTTTCTATACTTGTTCTTCTTTAACAGCCGTTTATCTAAAACACCCTCTACACTATGCCCGAAGCATTTCTCGAAATACTTTCAGAAGAAAACTCAATGCTTTTCTTATGTTGCGGAGAATCTTGGCTTCTCTAGGTCGCAAACCCCGAGACAGATCGAAATCTACCGAGACAAGCCGTGATTGGCTGTTTGTTTTTTATTGTTATTGGAATTGTCTCCCGAAATGTTTCGAAAAACGTTTCGACGAGTTTCGACAAAACTTTTATAATACGCGTCTATATTATTCGTACTATTTCACGAAGTAATCAAGGTCAAACTTTGTGGTGTCTTCAGAAAAATAAGTAAACATGGAGTATGAATAAATCTCATTAGTTTGTAATGCATTGTAATGTAATACCACTATATTAAACTGATATGAAAAATCAAAAACAGTGCGTTTGCGTTTAGAAAACAATTACCTCTAAGAATATTTAGTTTTAATCAATGTATAATAATATTATTAATCACAATATAATATAAAATATTGTGATTGATGTATATTGAATATACAGGGTGGTCCGAACTGTATTCCGGAAACGTCAGCCAGCAGATTCTACAGATAAAAATAAGTAAAAATGTTCCTATAAATGTATGTCCTAAAATGCTTCGTTTCGGAGTTACAGGATGTAGAAGTTTCATTTTTATTTCGATTTTTTCTAAATAATTTCTGAAGCAATGTCAATATTTTTATGAAAATTGGTGTCTGGAAGTTTTTTGACATGAGAAATTTGATTTTGATGTCAATATGACTCCAATTTGTAGGGGGCGCCACCTACATATGTTTTAACTGGTTTGAAGAGTTACAACTTTTCATCCGTACCTGTATAAAACTACTGAGTGAAAAAATGTGAATTTCCGTGATTTTTACGTAAAAAATATCTCTTGGTAAAAATCGCTACGAGCAACCGCGTTCTCAAGATATTTAGAATGGAAATAGTCAATACATGTCATTATTGACAAAAAAATAAACACGTTGAGTAGATAATTATTTTACTGAAATAATAAATTTGAGAAATTTTTATTTTTTTAAATTAATAATAAATTTTTCTGCGAAAAAATGATGCTAAAACAGTTTCTGTTGAACTTTGGACACAAAAACATTCCAAATTTATGATTTCAGTTTGATAACTATTTAGTCAACATGTTTAATTTATGTCAATGATGACAGGTATTGATAATTTTGATTCCAAATATCTCGAGAACGATTTTTACTTTTTTTCCTCTTAGCGATTTTTACCAAGGGACCTTTTTTACGTAAAAAATGTCGTAAATGTGTATTTTTTACTCAGTAATTTTATACAGGTACGGACGAAAATTTATTAGTCTTCAAACCAGTTAAAAAATATGTAGGTGGCGCCCTGTACTATTAGGAGTCATATCGACATTAAAATCAAATTTCGCATGTCAAAAAACTCCCAGACACCAATTTTCATCCAAATATTGACGTTACTTCAGATATTATTTGGAAAAAATCAAAATAAAAATGAAACTTCTACACCCTGTATCTCCGAAACTAAGCATTTTAGGACATGCATTAATACGAACTTTTTTACTTATTTTTATCTGCAGAATAAGCTGCCAAAGTTTCCTGAATACAGTTCGGACCACCCTGTATATTTATTAATAACAATAACTTAATAAACATACAGAATGTGGATAACATAGGAGATGACAACATTGCATTCTCTCGAAACACACATTTCCGGATACTGAACATGCGTCACTCAAAATTTTTTCAATATTTTCCGAAAAATGTCAAGAAAAATATAAAATTTTCAATTTTTTTCGCAAAAAAAACTCATTGGGGCGTTTCTGGGGTCAAACTATATTACCAGTTAAAATACTTATTTTGGGACACCCTGGATAAACTACAAAACTACACTATCTCTAAATATGTTTTTTTTTATAATTATAAACACTGCAAACATAGTAGAGTAATAAATAGTGAATGGTGTTTAATATAATATTCACAATAATATTCACACAATGTTTTTAATTCATTATAGGTGGAAGTGGAAAGGCTACCGTCGCCGAACAATGCGTCAGCTGCCGGAGGTCACGAGGAAATGTCATCTGGAAGAATCTACGCAGTGAGCAATACATCCAGACAGAATCTGGAAACCATCGTAGAAGCTATCCGACATCTAGAAGGTAAACGATTTTAAATTTCAATCTAGTTTAATGTACTATACAACTTAAAATCATTGATATTAGACAGGATATCAGTTATCACTATATTCTTCCTATAGTGGCGTAGCTTTCCGAGATATTAATAAATAAATAAAAAATATATTTTTCAGCTTTTTTTAAAAAATTATTATAAATACGAGAACTGTCCTGAAATCGAAACTACATTAGGTATTTACTGTAGATGGACTGTACTTACTTTGCTATAAATATATCGTAAATCATACATGATGTTTTAAAATTCTACACCAAACTTTCTAAAACATAAAATCAGTTTCTGTTGTTTTTTAATGGAACACCCTGTATATTATTTTTTTATTAGATGGAGAGTTAAAAAATGAACATTCTTTGTATTTACAGTATTTCAAAATTTTTAACGGTTTCGCAGATATACGCAGTATTATTTCATATGGCTCTTTCAACGGTAAAATACGAGGGAAAAATCATTGGGTGGCTTTGATAAAATTTACTGTGGAAAATGCCATATAAAATATAAAACCGCAAATATCTGCGAAACCGTTAAAAATTTTAAAATACTGTAAATACAAAAAAAATGTTCATTTTTTAACTCTCCATCTAATAAAAAAAATATACAGGGTGTTCCATTTAAGAAAAAAAAATCGAAGAAAACTGATGTTATTTATATTTTAGAAAGTTTGGCGTAACATTTTAAACATCCTGTATGATTTATGATTTCCATATTTATCGTAAAGTAGGTAAGTATAGACCATCTAAAGTAAATACCGAATATAGTTTTGATTTTAGGACAGTTCTTGTATTTTTAATATTTTTTTTAGGAAAGTCTGAAAAATATATATTTTTTTTTATTAATATCTATATTAATATCAACTATATTTACTCATATCTTAGGATTATGTAAAGTGGTCTGAAAGGAAGCCAAAAATGTAATAATATACAGGTTATTTCATTTAAAAAGTCATCCACTCACACTTTTTTGAGCCACCCTATGGAAGTTAAAATATTTTTCTGAAATACATCCTCGTACATACTTTAGGTGTGCCCTTAAACAAAATTCTCAATTTTTTATTCTTGGAGCTGCTTATTCTTCTACCCGACGCACTATTGCCGGACCCTGTATATTTGTAGAAAGTATTTAATTGCGTAATCATCTATTGTTTTTCAGATATTTGATACTTTCCTTCTAATAATGTTCTATGGAACAAATTTTAACTTTTGACTTTTATTTTCTAGGCGATCATATGTTTGACGAGCCTGCAGTGGGCGCCTCCGTCACGGTGACCACCACGCCGGCCACTCAGGACGCGCCGCTCGCTCTCACCACACGTACAGTCAGTTCCGATGACACTTACGTCGAATACAGCGCCGCTACTGTGCAGCAACACCAGCAGTCACGACCGGGGGTTATTGTAGTCAAACAGGTAATGTTTCAATTGAAACGCTAACTATGGAGTGTAGAAGTAAGGAGAAATATCTTCGTGCATTAAAAAATGGTCATAAAAAGGGAAGACTTAAGATGGCGCAGCTGTAGCAAAAACCTAAAATTTAAAATATGCGCCGAAAATTTTTAGAACAGAAAATGATTCAAAAGAGATAAATATTTGACGTGAAGGCGCGGGTTTCAAAAAAATACAAATTTTATATCTTTGTCACATGAAATAAATTATCGATTTTTAATCGGCAGCAATAGACTGGGCCTCTAATCTATAAAAATAATTGTTTTATATTCTAAAAAATAAAAACAAAGCTTTTTTGGGTTATGTTACTTTTATTCTCTTATCTATGGTTACTTTTCATTTTTTAAATTTATGCGTCATCAGCACCACTGTGGTCATTTGGTGAACCCTTATTCTTCCCATTTTTGTGACCACTTTTTCAAATAAAGTAGAAAAGATATTTCTACTCATCTCCATACACCCGATAGTGGTAACTCACGTGTAGAATGTATATTTGACTAGGTTTAAAAATAAACAGCTATTATGCAAACTAACTAAAATTGCTGTTATTTTACAAGAATCCGCCGATTTTTGCAAAATAACGGGAAACTAGCAGCTAATTTACAAGCTCTCTGTTTAGTTTGCAAACTATATATTTGTTTTGGGTAATGTCATGATGTTATACTATTGTTTTAATATTTACCATTAATTTTAACAATAGATCATACCAATTGGACTTTTAATCACGTGATAAGATTAAGCTTGATCACAGCGTTCCCAATTGTACATATTTTCTTTTAATCAAAATATATTGGGAAACAAAAATAAATTAATTATAAATATATAAACAATTATTATTTACATCAACAAAACTCACCTTCTTAACAGCACTTAAGGGACATAAATGGCCATTACTACCGCTTTCCCGTTCAAAATATTCTAATAAAGTTGCGATGAGTTTTTTGCAACGGCTATTAAGCTATCTTGAACACTTCGCACTAAAAGAGGTTCTAAAAAGAACAATGTTCGACTGCAAGGTCTACTAGTAAAAAGTTTTAAGTTTAAAGTATCACAACACAATTCATTTAAACCAAAAACTCGCAATACAAAACTAAAGTGTCAAAACGAATGTCAATGTCCGGAAATAAATAAACTAGAGTTTATTTATTTATTTAGACATTGTCATTTTATTGTTATTTATTTGCATATTTTGCCAACAATTTGCCGACTATTTTTTTCCTTCTATAAATAGTAAATAGAAAATATCATTAATCAAATTTGATTAATGATGATTTATTATTATTAACACTTCCTTTTCCAATAACAAGATTTAACATGTTCTCTTTCCTTTTCAGGCATCGTGATCGAATATCATCCGCTTTGCCAAGATGCGCACTTGCCAGGTCCGTAGCACCAGCAAAGCGACCATTGGCGGGGGCCATCTTGCTGTCGAGCGCGACGGATGAGCACAGTGGCGGCGGCGACGGTGGGTGATGCGGCGGCAAGCGTCGACGTTGGAGGGGCAGAAGGGGGGCCCTTCACCCCGAATTGTCAGTGTCAAAGTTGTTTAGTTTCCATGTTCCGTTAAACAACCACACTACTACCGGCACCACCGCAACAACAACCAGTAACAAACAACATCGTCGTTATAAATCTCGAACCGTGAGCCTTAGCAAATTGTTAACAGAGGGCGTTTTTAGCGTTCGACGTTCGAATTACTCTAAAGGCGCCGCTCTACCGACCCCGTTGTCGTTTTGACCGTGTCGTATCCGTCTGTGACTGTCTGACGTAAAAGGGGAATGATGTTTATAATTTAGTTGACGTTTTTAAACAAAAAAAACTGTTCTTTGTGTATGTACGTTTATGTTTATACAAAAGCTAGTTCTAAAATAACCAGTTTTTGATTTTAAAGATTAAAAAAATATTGTATTTTACCTTTTTGGACTTTAACAAAATCTAATGTAATTCCCTATAACAATATATTTTTTATACTATTAGTTTCTTAGTATATAATTTTGTTTTAATAAGTAAAATTTTAGTTAGTAAATCCTAATAATAATATTTTTTCTAATTTTGACATTTAACTTGAAATTTTCCTATTTTCGATTTTAAGTGCTAACGTGCGGTTTAAAGGATGATTTTCATGCATCCGTCATCCGTTGATACGATCATACATCATACGCTACTTTCCACGCGAAAATTTTTAACTCATGTCCGTCAAACAACTTCTTTCACGATAACGGATGTTTTGACAACTGCAATCTAACCTTACTTTTTTGTTGACAAATCTGGGACATTTATCGCTCTCAGGAAGTGGCTGTTCTTTTTCCAGTCAATATATAATTTTACATTTTAAAGAATGGTAAAGAATTAATTATGACTGACATGTAAAACTCACGTAAACCGTTATGGAAATGAAGACAAAAAATGACAATTGGAATTTTATGCTAAATTGTCATTTTATTGCCAAATAATTTTGACCAATCACAAGCGATTCTGTATAAGAATGCAATAAAATTGAAAAATGTGAAATTTTTTTAACCAATCTAAGTGTACGTCCATAGTGCACCGGCTTTTTGCTTCTCACTTTATCGCGGCACACTATATGCGCGTGGTCATAGTGAACCAGTCAGCCAGCTTCAATTGGCTTAAACTGCTTTTACCCGCTTTTACCGGAATGAATTGTTTGATTTGAAACCAATTCAACTCCCACGGTCACCCAAACTTAATCTACCCTGCTCGGCTTATTTCTAAACTTTCAATTAATATTATGCTTCAGCACAATTTAAGCTATTTACTTACAATTATTAAAAAATAATCAATTTACATCCCGTGTAGATCTATATATTTTGAAAATTACAGTATTATTTAAACGGTTTTTTTGTTGGAATTATACTTCAAACGTTTCTTTTTCCATGCGGAAATATTCGTAAATTTTTGTGGGTGAGCTGGGAGTTGTAGATATAATGTATGCTATTTACAAAATTCAAAATGAGACCGATTAATTTTATGAACACCAGTAGTACTTTTTTGTATCAGGTTAATATGAACATTATCATTAGCTAATTAAGACATTATAGATCCCCACGGAATAGCTCCAAAATGCCTAATGGCATTCCCACTTCCTGCAAGTGGTTGTTAATGGCCACTATCTGCTTCAATGGCGCAGGTTCACAAAGCGAGAAGACCTGCCATGAGATAAGCCGGCCACCGGAAAGCGGAAAGCTGGTGCACTATGGACGTACACTAAGTCAAAGTCATCGGATATCGAACGCATGAAAATCTATCTTAAGGGACCCGGGTAATTATTATATTTTATCAGAGATGTGACGTAAACCATGATCTATCGGAAATAAGCATTATTTTCAATACTTTTCTTAAGTTGGTAGTTATTATAAGCATTTGTATGCTCTCTAAAGGTGCGTCCACATTACTCGCGAGCAACCCGAACGAACGTATCATACACGAAAAACATGCTAAGCAGGAGCCGTGCGAGCACACTTGACAGCGATTGGAGGCTTTCGACTTGTTTTCGTCGTTTGTTTTGATGTTCGAACTGCAGGAACGCAATCCCTACACTACAATGTGGACACAGTTGCTTGCGAGCCGAATGATCTTGTACATCAAGACAACATACTAGCGTAAGCAACGCAAACACAATAATATGGACCCACCTTAATAACCTCACATATCTGTACCCTAGAAGCGAACTATGTTAAGTCCAAAATTGGCATATTTGAGATAAATACGTCAAGTTACTTAACTTTTTATGTCTCTCTGTTTTCTGTCTCTTACTTAATAGACTAAATCAGCTTAAGTCACGTAAACGCAGTTTGACTCAAACATCTTTAGGGTAGTTTAGTTTGTTATGTCCACAGGTCCACAGTGACAAAAATTGATTTTGAATATTCTGCTATTATAGGATAGTTAATTTAAATTTAATAAAGATAGATAGTAAATTGGTTCCAAATTGCAACATACATTCCTGTTTTACCATTTCCTCTTAAATATTTTTTTATTATATCAGTAATATACTTTTATTTGGATTTAAAATGGTTTAGCTTTATTCATTTTGGCATAAATAGGGGACTTAATATAAGTTGAGTCCTGTAATTTTTTTTTCTAATATATAAATTATGTTAAGTCTTTGGTATAATTTATTTAAAAAAGTGTTTTACAGTTCATTCAAGTTCAAAATAACTTGTTCATATAGCAAATATTACAATCAAAGGTTTAAAAATACCGAGTAATTAGGAAATAACTTGTAATGTAATTCGTTTTTCTCGAAACTACCTCTTGTGACTTAATATAGTTTGCTTCTGGGTTGTTTCATACATTAATTTTTAATTTATACTTTTTAAAATCTTTTTCTTATTCAGGAATTTAATTTTTATTTAAAAAAATAAGATATATCGTTCTCATTTTACGCCAGATTTCACAGAGTGATATTTAGAGGAATCCACCTGATTAACTAAAAAAAGTATTTAATGATAAAACAAAACAGAAAAAATATGTTTATCAACAGGTTTTTTAAACTAATGCTGCTGTTTTTTCTCCTTACATTCCACATATTCGTTTTTGAAACTTCTTAATATACAGGGTGATTCTGTTAAATCTACATAAAACTCGACTTATACTTTCGAAATTTGACAGTTAATTTAGGTGGTTCCTATTTAAGTGACACGAGCCAAAGACTGACGGACCAAATTACTTGGTTTATTTTTTGTAATAAAGCAAAATATGCATATATTATATTTACGAATACTAAACATAGTGTGTTATAGAAATAATCCAAGGTTGAACATGACGATTTTTTATTTTATTATTTTGTTACTTAAAAGGATCGAAAGTTTCTTTTTTACGAAACGCCAAAAATATATATTTATCACTATAATATTGATATCACTATAAGGAGTTTAGTGAATTGTTTGTTCCTTTTGTACATAGGATATTTAATTTTTTTTTCTTAGGCTTAATTGCGGAGTGTTGGTTAATTTACTCAGGTCCAACCAATTGGAAAAATAAAACATTTTAAGCACACACTATCTTTTTAATTTATTAAAACATAATCTCAAATTTTATACATTGTTTTATTAAAAAAATTGGTATTGAAAAAACTGGAAATCGTCCGATTTTTACCAAAATTGGTATACACCCTATTTTGAGGTCGTAGATTACGAATCTGAACTTTTTTCCTGGTCGTCTCTTACCGTTTTTCAGAAAAACGGAAAATAATTTCAACATTAATTTTTTCTTTTATTATTTCAGCCCTATAAAGTAATAATTTCACTATATTTTTATTATATTATAGTTTATCTAAAAGCCACACTTGATTGAGGATAGAAAAAGTTTACAAAAAAAACACTTTTCTTAACAAAATAACAAAGAAAATTGAAACCAGATTGAAGTTTGACATTTCATATATCCTTCTTTTTCTCTCCTATGCAATGAGAGAGATAGATTCTAGATCTCATCTAGAAATTTGCAACGTTGTCATATCTTGTATTTTTTCGGGTGATTAGGGATTTAAAATAAATTACCTATTACGAGATCTGACAATAGTTAAAATATAACCACAAAGTTGCACGAAAGAGTTTTGATTGCATTGGTTTCAACTTCTTTGCGGAGGAGGTTAATCTTTTTTGTTATATTATATTAAAAAAAGATTAACTCCACAAAGAAGTTGAAACCAATGCAATCAAAACTCTTTTGTGCAACTTTGTGGCTATAAATAGTCAGATCTCGTTGGTAAAATAGCAGTTATGGGTAGGAGCCGTTCTTCTGGCGACCGCCAGCGAAAAGAAAAACGGCTAAATTTAGGTTTAGCATTGGCAACGTTGCTTTAAAGTACAACCCAACATTTTCAGATTGTTTACAAATTTATTTTAGCAAATTTTTCTCTATTATGCACATAACTGTTTTAAACAGTTCTATAAACAAGTAAGACAACTAAGTAACAGAAAATAGCAAAAAACTGATTGTTTATTGAATACCTGTTTATACTAGTTTATTGAATAACAAAATATGTGCTAGAAAACCTTAAAAATATGAGAAATTAAGAAAAATTCAATGTTGTACGACCTCAAAATATACCAATTTTTGTGCAAATCGGACGATTTCCATTTTTTCCAACAATTACCAAAAAAATAATAGTATAACAAATGTTTTTGAAGTAAATGACGTATGACATTTATAATTTTGCCGTCATCTTATTTTTATATATATAGAAATCTTATTGGTTGGTACTTTTTGAAAATTAATGAACTCTCGAATCGTCGGGAGGTAATAGTAATTTTTTTTACTCCTCCTCAATTAGTATTAGTATGTTTTTTGTATGATTTTTTATGTTTTCGCAACTCATAATGTGCCAGAAGTAATTTTCGGATAATTTATTTTAGGTTAGATAGTTTCGCGCCATTTACATTCCGTATCTAACGTATTATTTAAGTAAAAAAAAAGTTTGGATATATTTATTTTTGACGTTTTTAAAAATACGCGGTAATATCGCTGCAAAAAAAAACCTCGAACAATTTTTACATTGAAATTTAATTGAAGTTTGATGGATCTTTTTATTCTATTTCAAAATACCATACAATCGAAAAAAAAACAGCGTCAGAGTTGGCTTGGAAATGATGCCAAATGATCGTCATTTCAAAGCCAACTTGACGCCGTTTTATTTTTCGGTCATAAGGTGTAATGTTATGAGACAGTGCACTTTATTTTCCCTCGCTTTTAACAGGCTGTAGCTTTATTCAGAACCTCAAAATTAGTGGTTTCAATTAGCGTAAATTTTGGTTTTTCTAATTTCAATATTCAGAACGTTCAAATTAGTGGTAGTACTTTTCATTTAGTATAGAAAAAATTAACAAACTTTTAACATTTTCCTATAATTATAATAATTATATTATTATAATTTTATTATAATTTTTTTTTGAAAACGCTATTGCGCATGTGTGTTTAATGC